AAGAGAAGGAGTTAAAACCAGATTAAAAGAGGGAGAAAGAAGTCAGGCGAGCAAATGCCAGGTCTGCAGAGCTGTGCTGGGACTTGAAAGATGTATTCAGGGTGTGTGATGGCACTCAGTACGCATGGTTCAGCAGCTGGCTCTGCCTAAAAATCACTGGCAGTTGTGTGTTTCCTGCTTGCGTGAGTGTTACCCAGCCATGACATCGCAGTAATTGCCCTCTGCCTCTTGTCGTCTGCTCAGACTGCAAACACTGAGCCACAGGCAGCCTCTTGCTGTGCAGGTACAGCACTGGCGAGCAGCCCCAATTTGAGCTGGGCCTGTGGTGGCTGGCTAAAATAAATGCACCTGTTGAGAAAGGTCTGGGATTGGCCTGGCTGGGGACCCGGGGATGCAGAATGAGACTGGATAAGGAGAGCAGGGCCTGGCTGGTTCATGGAGCAGGCACACGGTGCCCTGCTGCACTGCATTTTCACTTCCCTCCATGCACCCATGTGGTCCCGGACTTGCCTCTGCCTGCCTGTGCTGTGCATGGCACTGACCCGTTACCTGACACGGGGGTAGGAGAAGCAGCTGGGGGAGGGAGACCAGATCCACCCCCCAGAGCAATAAGGGGAGCATGGGCCAAGCAGGAGCCCAGGGACCACAAGACTCCTGCAGCCAGTCAGGCAGCCCTAAAACAGGCCACCGAATAGCCACCAGCTATATAATGCTCTTCCTCCCAAACTGGGTTTTGTCATTGGGGTTTTGACCCCCAGCCAGCTCTGAAAGCTGGGCTGCTGCCACCCAAGCTGAAGGGGCAACTGCACTGATGGGTAGCAGTAGGAGGCTTTTATCCTCCGGTGCTCAGACAGCAATGTAATGCACTTAGCCAGCACTCTCCGCTTTGCACTGACTGGGCTGGATTTGCCGTGGCGATCTGAAACCAAAAGGTACCAAAGCTCAAATCTGGCCGGCGAGCTGACGCTTCGCGTGATAAGGGGAAGTTATAGTAGCCAGACCCCCGATTGCCCAGCCTCTGGTGTCCTGCCAGGCAGCTGGCATTGAATCCCACTTCTGCGGGACTGGTGATGCATCTTAGGGTAAGGAATGCAATAAAACAGATTGCCTCAGCCCTGAGCAAACAAACATTCACACCTTAAGGCAAACGGCAGAGCACAGATCGAGTCCTTCCCCTGGGTACAAGTGCAAAGGCAGCCAGGCCCTAAACAAGGAAGTTCAGCGCTCAGTTGAGACATCAGCAACTCCCAGTTTTCAAGGGAAGGTGAGACGGGGACACAACGGGGTACCTGTAAAAGGTAGGGGGTTGCCAGCCATGGGGACACAAGTCCCCAGTTCATTCATTGTAATTTTACCTTCTTCCTGGAATCGCTCTGTGTCTTCGACTCAGAGGGTTACAAGGGACTTCAGGGTCCTCTGGTCCAACCCTCTGCATGAATACAGGTTTCTTAGGACACTGGATACAGAGCTTTTGATAGGTTTCCCCTGCCCCTTTCTTTCTCAGCCCAGATGCTACCCTTATATAGTATTATATAGCAATAAAAAGACAGAGACAGCAGAGGTTGTCCTAATTAGTAGCCCACATCTGGGACCACCGCCCCACAGTGCTGGGTTTGGCACATACAGGGAGATGGACCCTACTGACCCCCCCCCCCCCAAAAAAAAGAGCCCAACAATAACAAAAACAACAGTTTCTAGTTATGCATAAATCAAGGTTTAACTAGGAGAGATCCCTGGAAGTGGCAGCTTCCTTGTCTCTGGAGCTTTCTACATATTCTCTCAGCACAAACTAGAGGCATTAATTCCTGCATCCTACTGCCTGGGTGCAAGGACTTGGGCAAGTCCCTTCTTACTCAACACTAACATCCACACCAATGTCAGTGCAGAGCTGTAGGGGCAAGCAGTTAACCCCAGCCAAAGCTTTTTTCACAGCCTGGACATGCAGAACAGCCTGCCTGGGACCTTTCCTGATGTGTATGGGCTTCCCTGAAGCCGTACAGCATTTCATCCACTATAGATCTGAGACTTGAAACAAGCACATCTCCATTACAAGCTGGTAGAAGATGCTGCCACCTCCACCTGTTTAGCAATTCACTAGCTGATGTGGCACTGCAGAAATCTTGCCTCCTGCATCCTAGCATTTCCAGTATCCCTATAACCACCTGATTTCCTCACTACTTCTTTTTAACCCCTTCTCTGCCCTCTCCCCTTACTGGAGAGCAGCACCTGTTCACCAGTGACACCAGTTAAAAACCCACAGAATCAAAAGCAGTTGGGGAAGGCTGGGGGTCTTGGCAACTCGGTGGATATTAAAGTGCCCAGTCCTTACCCGTGTACGTCAATGGAGATTTCTGTGCCTAGCACATAGACAGCGCTGGTGGGACGCTGGGTAGACAGCCGGATGAGTCTTTGTTGCGACATGCTTGTACTTTCTGTTCTCCCAGCTGCAATGCTGTGCTGTGTACAGTACTGAGAGGAAACACAGCATGATTAAATAAAGAAGCAGCAACTGCATGTCCCACCCCTGACTCCTCCTTCACTCACACCCCTTTCTCCCCTGTCCCATTGAATGTGAATAGCTGGAGATTTTTGAAATCACACCTCTCCGCCTGCTCATTGGAGGCCTAGGAGGTCAGGCTAAGATCCTTCCCATCAGGTTAGCAGGGTACTTCAGTGGCTGAGATGGAAAAACGAGCTTTTGTTTCCTCTTAGAGGAAGCAGAGGGATCATTATGTGGTGTCTTTTGCCGATCTGCCCTGAGCGTAGGTGGTGCACGGCCCTCTCCTTGCCATCTGCACAGAGCTGCCCGGCACAAGCACAGCAGGTGCTCTGCGCTCCAGCAATATAGAAACTGCAGGTGTAAGAGGAGCCAGCACCTTGAAATATTTAGCTTGACCCTCGAACAAACCTGACCTGTCATTGCCACAGCAATCAGTGGGAGAAGGTGCATATATTTGCACGTGTCTATCGTCTTCTCAGCACTTAACATTTGCATTGGTGCTTCTCATCTGTACATCCCAAGTGCCCTGGCAAGGGTGGGGGGTAGGTGAGGGCATACTGTTAGCCCAGTTTTATATTGGGGTAAACTGAGGCACAACCTCCTATTTTGACAAATGCCTAGACATTTTGAGTCTCTACCCTTCATTTTTCCAGAGGTGCCAGGGGCCTCCAGCTCCCCTGCTTTCATCTAAAGTAGGGCAGGTGCTCAGCATTTCTTATAATCAAGCTCTGGGTAGCCCCAGAGTTAGCAGGCACTTGGCAAATTGGTGCAACCTGTTTCCGTACCTATGACAAACTAGGAGCAAGCCGGTACAAGAGTAAAACCCAGGAGCTCCTGGCTCCATTAGGCTGCCTGCTCGTCCTCGCCCGAGACTTCCCATTAAGTGCTCTGTGTTTCTTGATTTGTCTTAATTGAATTAGAAACCCTTCAGGGGAAAGGAACGGAGCTCATCTGCATTTGTAAAGCGCCCTGTCAATTTGCGACAATATACATGTGTGCACGCGCTGCTAATAATAATGCCTTGCCTTCAGTGCATCGGTGCCTGGGGGAAAGGCATATGAGTCAATCTATAACAAATTAGAGACAGCCTCCAAGCCCTTCTCCTTGGGATTACAGGTTTATTCTTTTCTTCTTTATTCCAAACAGGGAGTTTAGCCTCGCTATTACTTCACAAGGGTCTCCAGCTGCAGTTCATGTTAGCCACTCAATGGTTATTAGCCTCCATGATTTTTTCAAGTTGAAGAGCAGCATCATAGTAAGACAGGTATTCAAAGCAGAAGCCCCTTGTGCAGCAGTCTCCTGCCATTGTCAAAGGAAATGCAGAGGCCAAAACATGCTGCAGCAGATTCATATAACATTTGCCAGTGCCCTAGGCAACAACTTCCCATTTTCCAAAGTCCCTGGGCAAAGGGCTGTAATGTTATACTGTGCACCACCGCAGCACGCCGCCATCAGATTGCTTGCCTCCTACTAGCATCCAAGCCCCTGCTTCCCCCTATAATCCATGGGGTGACCTAAGGATGGGGGCATCAGCCAAGTGGGAAGCTACTTACCTAAGCTATGTAAGAATGAAATGCAGAAACAGGAGCCTATGTCTGGCCAGGCGAGGACCTCCCTCTGCTTGGTATCTTCAGCCATGAACCTTATCTTGCAGTCAAGTCCTCAAGCCATCCATTTGACAGGAGAATATGCAACATGTCTCGATATAATAGCTGAAGCAGGGGTGTCAGACATCTGGATACAGCCTGCAGAGGCATGGCGTCCAGCTGTCCTTTCTCTTGCGATTCTCAAGAGACCTGAACATTGAAGAAGAGTTGAAGGTGGCCTCACTTTCCTTCAGACAACAGTGTCCTCTGGTTGATGGACCTGCACTCCTTGGATCAGTGATCCCCAACCTTTTTTGTACCGGGACCCATTTGTAACCATCAATGGCCAGTCCCAACCTAGTAAATAATTTAATTTTAAAAATAATTTAATGCCCCTTACTCCCGGCCCATGGTCCCCCAGCCCCCCAGTGTGTGAAGCAGGTGGGTGTGTATGGAAAATGGGGCCAGCCTGCAAGGGAAAACCCACTGTTTCTCTCTTTTCTTCTCCTTTAAAGGAGAATCCATTTTTAAAGTTTGTTCATGACCCATTCATATATTCTTGCAAGGTATCCAGGTTGTAGCTATACTGGTCTAGAGGAAAAAGCAACTCATGGTAGAATGACCCGGGGGAACTTTTGCAACCTTTTCTCTGATGCCTGATGAAGGGTGTTTGTGCCCCAAAGCTTGCAATAAAAGAATTTTTTTGCAAAAATCTAGATGGTCTAATAAAAGATACCACCTCTGCTATGCATCCCGATTGCTATATTTTTGCAACCCACTTTTGGGTCATGACCCACAGGTTGAGAAACACTGACTCAGGTCACCCCCGGTTTGAGCTTGCTCTTTATCTTAACTTCTTCCTTCTTTTGTTTTGTGTTAATACTCCCAGTAAGTACATTCTGTCTTTGGACTAGCTCCCATCCCTCCTAATAAGGCCAGAAAGGAAAACACTGGCAATTCCTAGGAAATATAAACGCAATATGAATCACGCAATATTAGCACCCTTAGGTGTGCAAATATGGACACATGATTTCCAAGATAAATCCAGAGATTTCAAACACGAAGCTGAAAACGTAACATCATTCGTTGTGGTACACTGTAATAGTGAAATAATCCTAGGGAATATCTTTAGCTAGAGAAACCCAGTAACGTGTACAAGCACCCTATAGTTTCGAAAACATCCTGACTTGTTGGGGTCTTTGCAACAGGAGAATGGCTCTCTTATTTTTCCATAGTCGAAAGAGTGAAAGCTGAAAGCCGTCATTTTCTGAGGGGTGACTGGGGTCTAACAAGATGTGCCTCAAGTCTAACCAGCTTGAGGATCCCAGGTATAAGGGGACTCTGCAAATGCAGCAGCCAGCATAAAAGCAATCTGAAGACAATAGTGGTGCTAGTGTCAACACGATGATGTAGCTGTGATGGTCCAGGGAAAAATGTGAGGGGAAAGGATTTTGGGGGGATGACGTCTTTTATTGCACCAACTGTACCATTGGGAAAGATGGAGACAAGCTTTCAGGTATCAGGTGTTGTTAGTTAAAGGATTTGCACCTCTGCTTGTAACAATAATATTAGGCAATGGTTTCATAATAAGCAAATGCAGCAAGTGTCACGTCTCCGGTATTTGCGCTAACTGTCTAAAGAGGATGTAGACAGGGAGTGCTGTGTGTCAAGAGCACAATGCCGAGACATAGCGTTACAGCATGGCATCAAGTATAACGAGTTTCCCAGGAAGCTGCAGAAAGGTAAATGGAGCAAATTAAATGGTTCAGTGAAAAACAAAACAAAACTATCCTCATGTCAGTGCATCACCACTGGAACCAAAACCATGTGCTTTAAATTTTCAGCCAGGTGAAAACCACCTCTCTGCAGGGAAGTTAAAAGGAAAGAAGTTTTCTTCCAAGTTTTTAAAATAATACTTTGTACAGACATAGAGCATTTCATCCACGGACCATAACGCACCCTTTGAAACACGGCATTTCCCAGAAGGGGAAATTGCAGCACAAAGTGGGGGGAGTGATTTGCCCAGGGTTTCCCATCTGGGACTAGTTAATGAATCACTCCTGAGTCAGAGCTAGGTGTACGGATGGGGCAGAAGCAGAGTTCTTGCTAAACCAAAAAGCCCTAAGCAGGGCCCGTGGAAGATGCTGAGTTTTGAGCAACAGGCGTGCTGACCTGTGCAACCGTGCGCTGTGCTCCAGCGTGCATGTGATGAACATGCATATGCACAGTGGGTGGGACTGCTGTGTTGGGACCCTGAAGGAAGGCCATGCCAGGCATGGGCAGACCTACCTCACAGTGAGTTAAACTTAGGTATTCCTTGGGCTGCGTTATCTTTATTTACAAGACCTCTAAGACCGACAGCTTCCAGGGGCCTTTATCCAGTTTGCTAGCACCGTTTTATCCCTTGTTCGAACAAAGGGGCTGAGCAAGGTTCAGACCCTTCTGCTCAGGGGATCATGTTCCACCACTGGAAGGAGAAGGGTTTACGGAGGACGTTGGTGCCGCAGTGGACATCCCCTGCCAGCTCAAAGTAGGAGAAGAAGTCATTGATGAAGGTGCAGGTCAGGCCCAGCGGCTCCAGCAAGGAGCGGACCTTCTCTTCCAGGCAGCACTGCCCGTCGACGATGGGCCCGAAAGGCTTGGGGATGCCCAGGTGTGTCCCCAAGACGACCAAGTTCACCTGCAGCCAGGAGAGAGGGGACAGGATGGAGCATGAAACATGGTCCCGCAAAGGCTTTGCTCCAGTGTGCTACCACCCCATGTGCTACATATCTTCTCAACCTTTCAGCAGAGGTCTTATCATGTGGGAAAGCCAGGGAAGAAAGCAAAACATGGACGAGAAGGGAGCTTGGCAGAGATGCAGAACAGGAAAGAGAAGCAGAGGGACGAGGAAGAGGAAGGGGCAGGTCAAGGAGGGAGCTGGTTCAGCCCCTTCGGGAGTCCCTTTTCCTGCTCACCAGGTCTGGGAAGAAGGCGTCTGCATAGGAATCCCTCAGCACAAACAGCTGCGGGATGTCAATGATGTCTTCCTCGCTCAGTCCCAGCTCCTGCTTCAGGATTTTTCGATTCCAGTCAATGCAGTTCTGGAAAGAAGGAGTTTGGAGAGGAAACAGGTGCCATGGGCAGCCGTGGGCGCAAGGAAGGGGGCTGAGGCGGGGCATTTCTTCGGATAGCGAAATACAGCCATGAGCGCTGAGGTCTTTGTGGGATGGGAAGCCACCTGGGTAAGTCAACGCATCTCCTGGGACACCTATTGTGACCCTTCCAGATGCTGTCAGTGTTGTCCCATTCCCACCCTGGTACCGGGTGGCCCAGCGTGGCCATAAGGAAGGGATACTTATGATCTAAGAACCACCATGCTCTATGGAAAGACCCCCTTTGCCTGCCCTGATCTCCTGCCC